TATCCCGATTTTGGAAATCACTTTTGTCTCATCAGTTCATTTGATGAGCTGGAGAATTTCCAGTCATTGCCAATGGCTACTGTGTTCCCCCATTGCCATCATTAGACCGATAACTTGTTTAACATAAGCAAAATTGGAAAGAAACAATTGCAAATGGAGTTCTCTTGAATAAGGGAAGATTATGTTTCCTTATTTCCCAAATACTTTGTGGTGATAGAGTTCTCTGGTACAGATTTTAAAGTAATCTAGCTTAATTGTAAAGACTTTTAATGCCCCTTTTTGTGAACAGAATACCTTTGCAGTAGAGGTGACAAATTGTATTAATCACAGCACATGCTGTTCTTTGTTCTAAAAGTATATATTCCAAGGCTGTTGTTTGTCTATGATTACTTCAGACAGAGTGCCCACAGCATAAGGTACTTGCCGTGTAAATTGACCTAAAGAGCAGTTCAGTTTGCCTAAAGCAATAGTCAGATATTTAAAATTAGCTTCTTATGACATACCAATCTTCTGACTTTTTTTAAAGATTTACCTTTTTTATTGGAAAGGCAGATCTACAGAGAAAAAGAGAGGCAACGAGAAAGATCCTCAGTCTTCCGGGTCTCCCACATGGGTGCAGGGTCCCAAGGCTTTGGGCCGTCCTCGACTGCTTTCCCAGGCCACAAGCAGGGAGCTGGATGGGAAGTGGAGAAGCCAGTACATGAACTGGCATTAATATGGGAACCCTGACATGCAAAGAGAGGATTTACCACTAGGCTACTGCAGTGAGCCCATCTTCTGATTTTTTTATTAAGATAACTTAGTAAGAAGTTCTCCTACCAGTAGCAACTTCCAGAGAGATCCTGGCAAAGAGAGAAAACATGAAAGGCAAAGGCCTTACTGTTGTTTTTGCCTTAAGGAGAGGTTATTTGAGGTTTTCCATTGGTTCACAGTAGTAGCCTGACCTATCTTTCATGTTCTCCTGGGTATATTCTTTTCCTTTGCACGAGACACAGCAGTAGAGGTTTCCTAACCTGGAATGTGTGCTGCAACCATGGTGTCTGGTTCTTCTGATGGGATATCCTGACACATCTGTGGTCAACAGGACATGAGAGCATGTGCTACTTGCTGATGTTTAGAGCTATCCGTGGGGCCTGTTCCTAGCTGGGCCTGCTTGTTGTCATCTTCTGGCCCACGCTCAGCCTGCTTGACATTTTCTTTAGTCATCAGTGGACATCTGGGTTAATTCCATATCTTAGCTACTGTGAATTGAGCTGCTATAAAAATGGGGTGCCAATAACTCTTTCATATGCTGATTTCATCTCCTTTGGTTAAATATCCAGGAGTGGGATGGCTGGGTCCTACAGTAGATTGACTTTAAGATTTTGAGGATTTTCCATACTGTCTTCAATAACAGTTGTACCAATTTTCATTCTAACCACTGATTTATTAGGGTGTCATTTTCTCTATATCCTCACCAGCATTTATCTTCGGTTTTTTTGGTTGACAGCCATTCTTACTGGGGTGAGGTGAAACCTTTTTGTAGTTTCACTTTTATTTCCCTGACAGTTAATCGTGAGCATGTTTTCATACATGTAGCTTTCCAATTTGTATTATATCCTTTACCTGTTCATGCATGACATTTGTGCATTTCTGCATTGTATTATTTTTTGTCATTGAGTTTCTTGAGCATCTTATATATTTTATTTATTTTTTAAAGTGAATTTATTTTATTTTTGATGTCGTTTACATAGTTGAAAAGGATGCATGCCCATGTGGACTGATCAGGTTGGGAAGGATTGAGGAATGGGGAAAAGTAGATGAGACAATTGCTTCCAGTTTTTTTCCCCCTGCTGTATCTGGGGGAAGGAGGGAGAGAAGAGAAAGGGCCACTCCCTGCAGCCCAGCCACATCAGTACCCAGGGATGGGGGATGACCACTCACTGTCATCCTAGCGTCCCTGATGACCATGCTTTTAAATAGTGTGTAAGGATACTATTTCAAGATATGTATAAATGTTGTGGTATAAAAATATATGTGGCTACTTTAATGTATGAGCAGTACCTGCTGTTGGCAATGTAATGCATTTTACGTTCAATTGTAAACTGCCAGTTTCAGTTAAATGTTTGTTACTGAAAGTTTAGGCACATTTTCCTCCATTCAAATTTGTGCTCTTTGCTTTAGAGACAATTGGCTGATGATTTTATTGTTAGTATTCATGAATATCTAAAGCCATTACCAAATATTCCTACTATAAAGGTTTTGGTGTAGACATATTTTGATTCTATTTAATTGGTCTTGTTTTATTTTAAATATAACAATCCTTTAGATCTATTTTTTGCAAGTTATAATGTATTTACTCTGGAGTTTTTGTTAGGGGCTTACCTCTGAGAGTCTTATTTCAGACTCCTAGGAGAAGAAGCAATGTTCCAGAAATAAGGAATTCTGAAAAGTACAGTTTTGTTCCTGAAACTAGAATATACTTAGTTAGGAAGTATTCATATAGTTTAATAACCTAAAGGAATGGGAACAATGGAATCCAAAACCCAATTTTTAAAAGTTTGCAGTTTTTTTAGAACTAAATTTATAAAGACACCCAAAAACACTGTCTGACTTGATTATAACTCAAGGAAGTGCACTTAGTAGGGCTGTTATTTTCCGCAAATACATGGACTTGGACATTCTGATTGTTGCTTATTGATATAGACAGCTACAGCTCTGCATTTTAAGATTATAGTTTATTGGTATTTCAAATATTTGCATTTAGATAGAAGGATAAAATTCATTTTAAGATTGTAGTTTATTGCTATTTCAATTATTGTTCAGTTTTGTGAATTTAGAAAAACTGTTTTTGTGTTTTTGATGGAATTCGTAAATTTATTTTCTTAAATGTCCATGAAACATTACCTTATAAAAAGGGTGATTATGAGTTCTCCTTAGATGACCTTGAATTGCATGTTTGGCACCAGTTGAGTAATCTTGCTCTAGTTGGTTTCTTATGAGAATACTTTGGACTTTGATAAAAGAGCCCATTGTTTGATTACTTTAACTTCAGTTTTCAAAAAAACTATATTTTGAAACTTAGAAGGGCATATGTAAATACAGAGGATACAATTTTTAGTCATAGGGAAATGACATGCAGATTTCATTATCCTAAAACAATATTTAAACAGATTTGTGATGGATTTTATAAAAGAGCAAAATAACAGGAGCTCAGTAAATGCTAATGAATACACTTTTTAATAAATGGATGGAATTAACGGACTTTTCTGAGGTATGCTGTTAGAAGACAGAAGCTTGAAACGATCATGATTCTAGTATGACAAGTTGTGAAGGCCTTGAAATTGAGAATGTGTAAACTTGGTGTCAGAAAAATTTGTACTTAAACTCTTGGTGTAGAAATTTTCTTAATTCAGTAAATTTAGATGCATTTACAATTTCTGATTCTCTTGCAATTTTTCTTCTTATTTTCTACCTAATCTTTTTAAAAGATTTATTATAATTTCAGATTTACTTTTCTGTATCAGTTAGTAAATGTCATATAAGGGATCATATACTAGCACTGCATAGTTTCAGAGGAAAGGGCTGCCATTTTATAGGATATATGTCAAAGAAATGGGGTTATCTGCTCTATGAGATATAAATAGCACCAAGGCAATCAGAAATTGAAGACGCATTCTGAATTGTTAAAATACATTAGGAAAATATTAAAGTCAATGAGTAAAAGTAGGTCTGTTTTCTTTTCCTTTTTTTTTTTAGATTTATTTATTTATATTGCAAAGTCAGATATACAAAGAGAAGGAGAGACAGAGAGAAAGATCTTCTGTCTGATGATTCACTCCCCAAGTGACTGCAAGAGCCAGTGCTATGCCAATCTGAAGCCAGGAGCCAGGAGCTCTTCCGGGTCTCCCACGTGGGTGCAGGGTCCCAAAGCTTTGGGCTGTCCTCGACTGCTCTCCCAGGCCACAGGAAGGGAGCTGGATGGGAAGCGGGGCTGCCGGGATTAGAACCGGCGCCCATATGGTATCCAGGCATGTTCAAGATGAGGACTTTAGCTGCTTAGTCACAGCGCCAGGACCAGTAGGTCAGTTTTCTTAGTGTAAGGGTTTATGTTGAACAACCACAAGAAAAAATGTAATTGGAAAATGTGAAAACCCCTTCATAGTTATAAAGGATTTTGGTTTTATTCTGTGGATTTGTGCTTTTCTAATTGATATGAGCACAACTGTGTGGGAGACGTTAAGTCAATAGGGTAAATGTGGCACATCTAGGAGCATCACTTTTTCAATTAAAGATAGAAAAGATAACTATTATTTATGAAGATGGAGCCTAAGACATAATTTATATGAAATATTAAGAAAAGATTGTATGATTTAAGATAAGATCCCAATAAAATTCTGAAACAAATCTAAACTTACAGAAAGCCACTCATCCCACAACTGCAGAACTGATGTAGGCATATTTTCTTTATCTTTGGCTGTTACACATCTTCATCGATGAAGTGTCAAAAAAAGCCAAACTAGGAAGCAGCTATTATAAATTTTAGGAAGATTGAAGGGGAAGCTAGAAAGAAACTATTTTTTTTAAAGATTTATTTTATTTTTATTGGAAAGGCAGATATACAGAGAGAAGAAACAGAGAGGAAGATCTTCTGTCTGATGATTCACTCCCCAAGTGACCACAATGGCTGGAGCTGAGCCAATCTGAAACCAGGAGCCAGGGGCTCTTCCTGGTCTCCCATGCGGGTACAGGATCCCAAGCCCTTGGGCTGTCCTTGACTGCTTTCCCAGGCCACAATCAGGGAGCTGGATGGGAAGTGGAGCTGCCGAGATTAGAACCAGCGCCCATATGGGATTCCATTGTGTTGAAGACGAGGACTTTAGCTGCTAGGCCACCGTGCCAGGCCCTACATTCAGTAATTTGTTATGAATATTAATTCCACATAAAAACCTACAGGAAAGTATGCAGCTCACAGCAAGTCTAGGAAAAATAAATTAGTATTAAACTTTAGCATAATTCAACAGATATATTCATTTTTATTTGTTTTCTGGCAAGATCCCTTTGGTATTGTTTTCATAGTCTTACGTATTGAAATATTGAAAATGCATACAGTATAGTTAAGTTAACAAATATGTTAGGGTGCAATGTACATGATGTTAAAGTCAACATGACATAGTAATCATGAGGTACTTGATTTGTTTAAAAGACATTGATAACAGTATTTTAGCCTACTTCTGTTTGTTTTATGAATGAACCATATCAGACATTTATTCCAGGCTGTTAAATAAAGTATCAATTTTTAAATTGATATTACTAATTTTTACGGGTACTCTGCTGAACTGACTTTTAGTTTTAAAATTAATATTACAGTGTTGAAAATTGTTCAGTCTTTTGAATTTATTAATTTAGAATTTAATAAATAATGTGTTTAGAGAGGTTTTAAAATTAGCTCTTAGGGTGATTGTTAAAATAAAAGTCTGCTTTTCTTTAACTTAGTATTTAAAAATTCACCTATTATTTATAATTTAAATTGTAGCCATCTAAGATTCATTCCCACAATATAAAATATATGAATAAATGGTCTTGTAGTAAGAATTTTGGATAAGAAAGATAAATAGTGTTATTTGAGGTGATAATTTTACACCTAAAATAGATATTGTAAAAAAATATTGCTCAACCTTTCTCCCAAGCACTTAGTATCAGATTATTAAATGACAGTAAGTTGGAATGCATTTAATGTTTGGTTTATTGGCTTTTTAATTCGCCTCTGTTCATTTCGAGCTTTCTGGATCTTTTGGACGGATCAACATTTTAGTTGATTTGAAAGAGTATAACCTTCCATCTTGAGACTTCCAACATATTCCTCTTCTCCTCTCGGGCTTAGAGTTTGTTCTTGGTCTGTTATATTTACTGTTGAGGTTGCCTTCTCCACATGCATCATTCCACCACCAGCCACCTGGAAAAGAAAGATATTCAATTTATTTCGTTTTGAGACAGCTCACTTCTTATGGTATTGTAAATCCATGCGTCCTAATTTTAAATAATAGGTGTAAGTCTCCTGCATACTACCAAAAATAGAATATCTGAAGTGGATTAGAGGTAAAATACAATGCTTAGTTTAACCAGAATGAATAGTTTTGTTATGATAATCAAGAGAGGCTTATGTATCAACAAAATACTTGTCGAAGTTTGGAGTTTTAAGTGATTGACATTGTAGGTAATAGTTAAAATTATAGGAAGATAGTTTGAGCAAATGGAAATATAGTTTTGGTACTAGTGAAAACAATACCTGAATAAATTTCTGGACAGTTGGTGACTCCTTTTGCTTTATGATCCCACGTAGAAAACACCAAATCTTTGTGCTCTGCGAGTACTTTGGGGACATTGCCAGAAATTTCAGCTAGGTGTAGCGTATAGTTGGTTTCATGATTTCCCAAGTGAAAAGAGTATTCTATGTAATGCTGATTTTCCTTCCAGTCTTGTAGCTCAATTCGTAAAATATAAATGGATTCTCTTACTATAGAGTTTATCTTCTCTAGGCCCAACCAGAATTCTCCTGAAATGAAAAGGTTAAAAGCCTGTGGATTATTAGGTACAGGTTGGGCACTGACATTTTTGTTTTAATGACTTTTTAATTTATTTCAAAGGCAGTTACACAAAGAGAAAGAACGGGAGAGACAGAGATCTTTCATTCACAGGTTCACTCCTTGGAAGATAACACTGGCCAAAGCCAGATACTTCATTTGGGTGTCCTCTGTGGTTACAAGGCCTCAAACATTTGACTCATGTCTTCTTGCTAAGGCACGTTAGCAAGGAGCTGGATCTTAAGTGAAATAATTGGAGTTCAAGCTAGTGACCATTTACAGGTGGCAGCTTTACTTGCTTTGCCACATTGTTGATCCCAGTTTTTAAACAGTGCTTATTTTTAGTGTAAGAAAATAAGTTATTTCAGTATATTGAATCCCTTTGTCAGCGTAGAGTTTCAGAAAATACATCTAACCTAGTGGCTAAATCCTTGCCTTGCATGCTCTAGGTGATCATATGGGTGCCAGTTCATGTCTTAGCTGCACCACTTCTCAGTCTGCTGTCTGCTTGTGGGCTTGGAAAGCAGTCTGAATGGAAAAAACTGATGAAATACTAGATATATCCTACATTAAAAGTGAGACTTTTTACATTTTAGACTTTTAAAAAGATTTATTTTTATTGTAAAGGCAGATTTAAAGAGACAAGAAGAGACACAAATTTCTTCCATCCACTGGGTCACTCCCCAAATGGCCACAATGACCAGGGCTGAGCTGATTCAAAGCCAAGAGCCAGGAGCTTTTTTGTCAGTCTCCCACCTTGGCGCAGCATACCAAAGCTTTGGGCTGTCCTTCACTGTTTTCCCAGGCCATAAGCAGGGAACTGGATAGAAAGTAGGCCAGCCAGGATACAAACTGGTGCCATATGGAATGCTGGTGCTTCCAGACAAAGGATTAGTCAGTGGAGCCACAGTGACAGCTCCCATCATGAATTTTAATAATGTGCATTTTATACACATTTGCTATTTTATTTTGCTGATTTAATGTTTTTATTATGTGATCAAAACTTATAGAAAATAGTTTATTTTAAATTAATTCATTTAAAATGACACATTCTCTAATACACACTTAATAATATTTAAATTATTGGAACTTCTAAGTCTGTACTGTATATCTGATAGTCTTTATCTCTTCTAATAATTAACTGCTTTTTAAAAATACCAATGCAGTAAGGAAATAGCATGCTAGGGATGGTTCTTCATAGTTTATTCATAGCACATAATGCTTAATAAAAACTGTCTTTAGTAATTGTAATTATGTTATTGAATTGACTTGTGATAAGTCTAATTAAGAAGACAGGTAATTATGATAAGTATAATTCAAATGGTGACAGTTGCTATAGTTGTAATTACTAAGAATTGGTGTAATATTTGTTAATAAGTTTTATGAAGCTGAAAATGGTTCTTGTTCATTGCTGCATTCCCTTTGCTCAGTGCATAATAGGTATTGATATTGGAAATTTTGTAAGAAACTAAAAGTAATTTTAAATAAAAAGATCTGATGAATGATTGACTAGGATTGCCTTACCATCAAGCTTTCCAAAACCATGTTTGTAGTTCTCCCAGGTTTCATTGAAGTTTTGTGATCCATCTGTTCGGTGTTGAATTAATGTCCATGGCCTACCTGAGTATAGCGAAATGAAATTGTGAACTTTCAATAGATTAATTTTGACAGATGTAAAAAATACTATGTCCTTTTGGTTTGGATGTAATTGGGATCTCTAGAAGGTAGTTTATTAATGTTATGAATATATATATATTATGGTACCCCAAAAATTAAGTGAGGGGGGGTTATTGAATTTTATGTTGGTGAACTTATTAATGGGTTAATTGAGACTATTTTATGAAACACATGGGGGATTTACAATAAATTAATAAATAAGAAATATTTAAGTACTAGATTTTATTTGTGTTAATATGTGTCTTAAGTTATATACGTAGTGGTCCTTCAATATTTATAAGAGATTGGCTCTCCACACCCTTAGCTGATACAGAAGTCTGCAAATGTTCAAAACCCTGATTCAAAATGGCATGTTATTTGCATATACCCTACTTAGATCCTCCTATGCACTTTAAATCATCACTTGACTGTTTATAGTACCTAATGCAATGGAATGCTGTGTAAATAGTCATGTACTGAGTAGTATAGCAAACAATGGCAAGAAACAGTATAATACAAATGCAGTTTTTTTCCCCAAATAGTGAAGATCCATGATTTGTTAAGTCCATGTGTGTGGAACCCACAGATATGGTGGGATGCACATCTTCAGAAGAGAGGTGGCAGGGGCATCTGCTGAGAGGTGGTAGCTTCCCTGTAACCCCTGTCTGTTTCTCCTTCAGCAGGCTTTACCTGATTTTATATCACAGTAGACCTTAAAAACGTGAGCGTTGCCGGGTCTAATGGCATAAACACCGCTTGTATGTTCACCTTTGTTGTAAATGGCAGTGCAATCTGCAGGTATTCCTAGAATCAAGGAAATGTTATTACCTAAGATTTAGTAATTCGAATGATAATTTAGAAGTTGGAAATTTTACTTCTTTACATTTCACAGAGAGTGTAGTTTTACTCCAATAATGTTTACATTAAAGCATTTTTTAAGGTAGTGTGTTGTGAAGATTATGAGGGTACCTGAAAAGTTCATAAATGGTGCAGAATTTTTGCTAAACACATGTATGGGTAGTATTTTTATAATACACAGTTTCCATGAGTTTCTGAAGATGTTTTGTATAGGAATGGTTATTTCAAAATTGATTTCTTTGAAAGAAAGGTGACAAAATGAGAATGTTAATATTTTGGTTATTTTTTGCTATTCATAGGAAGAATATAAAGTGAAAGAATACATAGGAATTTGGCATGCAACAAGTAGTCAACAGATATGTGTTTAGAATAAACAATACCTAAAAAAAATTAAAATGGGCTTTTTGTATGAATTAGATAAAATATAAATGCTTTGAGAAACAATTTTATGGAATTGTGACTGGGAATGAAGATTTTTATACCCAAAACTTGTTTTTCCTTAAGAACACTTTTTCAAGTAAACAGGGAAACAGAAAGACCTTCTATTCAACAATTGCTAAAAAATTTTTTTCTACCATATTTCTACCTACACAAACATGTCTTATTGTGTTGTTTGATAATAATTTGCAAAGATTATGACTCTTGATATGTTAAGTATTTCGGCATACATCTCTTAAAGAGGTTATTTGCTATTTTCATGTTTAAGGAAATCAGTAACCATTTTATATTGTATGATATGAAGTCCATATTTATATCCTTCATTGTCTTAAAGTTACCTTTTTAGGATTAAAAGAAACCCCTCCGGATCCAATTTAAGTTGACACTCTGAATTTGTTGGATGTTCCTCGTTACTCTAATTTAGTCTGGAATTGATCCTTGAGAAAAGGGTATTTGATAACAGCTGCACAAAGGAGACCCACTAACGTTATCTTACCATGCTCTTCTGCATTTTTTGTTTTATTCAGCTGAAAAGAGGGAGTAGTTCTTGGTGATCTTGGTTTGGAGGAAAGAAAATTTTCTGTGGGTTCTTGAAAACCAGTTCTTCTGAGCTAAGGCAAAAAAAATATGTACATATATAAGAATCTACTGCTAGAAAGGGATACTGAATATATGTTAGATAAAATGTAAGTATATCAAGAATACAATTTGTATGTATTTTAGTTTCTATTATTTGATGTTAAGGATGATCAGTGTTATCTGGATTGTACAGATTATCTCATGATTTAAAAATATTAAAGACAGCAAAGCAATAAAATGACACATTTTGGTTAAGAAACAAAGCAAGGGGAAGGCATTTGATGCAGTGATTACAAATGCGGCTTGGTGTGTTTGCATCCCATATTAGAGTGTGTGGCTCAAGTACGGGCTGTAACACAAATCTGAGCTTTCTGCTAGGGTGTCCCCTGGGAAATGGTAGTGCTGGGCCAGGCAGTTGGGGCCCTGTCACTGTGAGAAGTCCTGACTGAGCCCCTGGCTCCTTGCTTGGGCCTGGCACAGTCCCAGAAGTCATGGCTATTTGGAGAGTGAACAGAGAGTAGAAGCATGTTCTGTTTCTCCCTTTTAAATATAATAAATTAAGAAGTAACTTTCATTAATTTTTTTAATATATGCCCTATACTTATATAAATAGGGTACATTTAATACTCTGTTTAGTAACACAGGTGGATTTTAAGTTTACTGACTACCCATTGTAGGTCTTACTGAGATTCCAAACCTGCTGTGAAGGCACAGAACATTATTTGAACAAGGTTGCCTGTGATAGTTTTTGACCTGTAAATATATCTGTAGATATACTTAATATCTTAATATTTTGTTAGTGTATCAGTGATACAGAAAGTATCTTGAATTTACAGTTTATTTGACTGAATGTTTTCTTAGTGATGGTGAGGAAAGCAGAATATATAGAGCCTTGTAGTATCAGTGTTAGTTTTTGGTATTAGCATAAATAGCATTTCTGAGGATCTAATTTATAATGATTTGTGGTTAAGTTCACTTTATAAGGTATTAATCTCTCCTACTAATGATATCAATGCTCTTTTTAGCGTTTTTGTTTTTTTAATTTAAATAAGAGACAGTCACATCACATACGATGCAAGTCTTCTTTCAACTTAGAATTAATTCATTGTGTGTGTGGATTTCTACAGAATCCCTCTGTAATCTGCAGAGGATGCGTTCCCAGCCCCCTCTAGTGGGGCCTGAAACCACCATCAATACTGAATCCTATTTATACTGTGTTTTTCCCTGGACAGTTTACCTATTATAAAATTTCACTTATAAATTAGGCACAGTGAGATTGATAGCTACTATGAAACTGGAATAATTGTTATATTATGCTAATTATACAAATGCAATCTCTTTTTTGAAAGAGTTAGATATTAATACATAATATTTCCTAACTACTGTTGGCTTTCGGAGTCTGAGACTGGGATGAGCAAGGCTGCAGTTAATGGAGGATTAGATTTTATTTCCACTATGTATTCATGATATAACAGTGACTGTTTTTCAGCAAGTTCATTTAATCATAAATGATACAGTAAAAAAAAGTAGAAAAGTAGCATATGATAAGGAAATATAGCTGGCCAAAAAAGCTTTTAGAAAAATAGCATTACCAAATAAAATTCTTTGTTTGGTAAAAGTCAGTAATAATTCCTTTACAGTTTTGGGGAACTTTTTTTTTTCAGTTTCCATGAGTCTGTAACAATTTCTTGAAATCTCTTGAGTGACTATTGAAGAATATTATGAACTCATATTAAAACCATTATTCTCCTTAATACCCCCCTTTAAACATGAAGGAAATAATATGGAAATAATAGTCTTACCCACTTTGCTATAGCCCTTGAACCTTTTTACCCAAATTAACTATGTAAGGATTGTCAAAAATATAATAAAAAAAGAAGAAGAAAACCATTATTCCTTATGCTAAAATACTTAGATTCTGGCATAGTTTTATTCTAAACAAATGCTTCTCTTCTTAACCTAATCAGTTGTTTGCATTATGATTAATTATATTACTGGATGTCAAATTATCAGACAGTTTATAATAATATAAATAATTATAGCAAGTGTTTACTGACTTCTCTGTGCTAAATATGGTATTAACTTTATTAATTCAGTGCATATTTATTGAGTGTCTAGTATGAATGAGGTAAGAGTGATAAAATAGTGGGGAAAAGCCCCTGCACTCACACAGCTGCATTTTAGTGCAGAGCAGGCAAGAGAAGTAAAAAAGATCAATTATGTATAGAGTATAAGTGAGGAGAAAAGTAGTTAAGGAGGAGGTAGAAGCTTGAAGGAATGGAAGTAGGGGATTACAATTTTTAATTAAATGGTGTAGGAGGGTTCATTGAGCATTTTGCTTTCCAAAAAGGCCTGAAGAAAATAAAAATGGGCTGTGCAGATACAAGTGAGAAAGAGGAAGCGAGCCGGCCCAAGCCCTGAGGAGGCAGCAAGCACATTTGCTGCATGTGTGAAATAGTTAGGTCAGCGTGATCAGAGCGGAGATGAAGGGAGTGACATAGTGGAGGCCACGACAGCTCCGGTGGTATGAGCTAGGATGAGTGAAAAGGCTTAGAGTTTGAGCAAAGAGAGATGTGGCCTAATTTAAATTTTAATAGGACCATGTTAGCTGTCCTAAATTTTTTTTTTTCCTCACAACAGTCCTTTAAGTTAAATTCTGTCATCCGTGTAGGGTGTGTTAGGAAACTGTGAGGTAGAAGGGTTAAGTAATTTAGTCAAGGTCACATGGAAAGTTTTAGAACCAGAATTGAATTCAAAACCAAATAGTTTATTAGCTGCAAAGCTCAAAATCCTGTCATGCCAGTATGATCAGTTTACTCACAACCCAATTAAAGTGTTTCAGTAATTTTAGAATTCAGTATTTTTATAAACCAATATAAGAGATTGTGCATACCTTTAAAATACTGACTTACCTGATTTTCTATTTCTTTTATTTGACTGTGCTGTTGGCTTAATTGTTTATATTGTTCTTCCACAGTCTGGAGAAGGTCTTTGATATTGTTATCCTGTTGTTCTACGAAAGTCTGGGAATAAAATGTCATTTGGTTAGAAGTCTCATTCCTTTTTCTGTTTTGTTAGACTGTCCTATATATCTAAGACACTGTCACACTCCTTTTTTAAAAAAACTGATAGATTTTTTTTTTGAAAATGTGCTGGCAATCTTTTTTCCTTTCAGACTTCTTTTACGTATTTACTTTTGTTCGTACACTTCATTGCAAATATGACATCTCTGATATTTTGCTTTCTGAACTTCGGTTGAAAGCAAAAAAAAGAAAAAAAACCCACACTGTTTTAATCAGGCACCTTTATTATAGTATAAGTTTTACTTATTTTGAACATTGGAGAATGGTTTTCAATTTAAATTCATTTAACTTCTTACTTACCTTAGGTAATTTGCAAGGATGTAATAACTTAGGATTCTAAATTTTATTATTTTCATATAAATACAAATAATATTTTTTTATATATAATGTTAAGGAAACTAGAACTAGAAGCTAATGGAAAACAGTGTAAAAAAGTATCATAAATAACATGTCTAAGAGGTTTTTTTTTTTTTTTTGGAAAGATTTACATAAAAGTAGAATCATGAACTCTGGTTTCTCCTTACCTTAAGTGAAGTTACTTCTGGGTGTTCCTGAATTTCAGGTGGATTTTCAATTAAATTAGTTAATTGTTCCTCCAAATATCTTACTTTTTGTTGAAGTAGAATTTTTTCTTCTAGGAGACTTTCAAGTTTTGAGTTCAGTTCCAGTGACATATTCTTCACCTCTTCATTTTTTACTTGTAGTTTTGATGTAGTTCTTCTAAGTTCCTTTTCTTCTTCTTTGATTTCATTGGTTTGTAATGATAAGTCATAAAAAGATTGGTCAAATATGTTAAGTTTTTGAAAAATGTCATTAATTTGTCCTTTAGTCTTATGGACAAAGTCTTTAAGACCATGTCCCAGCTGAAGAAGGCCATTGGCTAATATTTTCACATCATCTAACATAGCAAATCTTGATTTTGGTTCCAGAGGTAGAGAATCAAATGGTGAATTGTCTTGATCAATTCTAGAGGAAATAACTAGAGGAGCAATAAAAAGGAAGAGTTTAATTGTGTACATTTTTATCCTAATTATTCAGTTGCAAGTAATTTGAAACTTTTTCTCTAGGAAGCTGACCTGGACTTGTTAACTTTATATACCGCTGTTTGCCACATAAAAGAATAGCAGGTGAATATAGTTAATCATTAAGCTATGTTAACTTGCACAAATGTGACCTTCCACATGGAAATAGATCAATGCTAAATGAAATTAAAGACATGGGCAACTAAATTTTAGGTAATAAGAAATCAATGTATGTAATTTTGCTAGTTTATAACTGTACTTTCAGTATAATGAGGTCCACTGTTTTCTTGAAGTTCATTTAGAGTTTTTCATGATTTTCAAGTCAAGAACAAACTTGTGGCAGGTAAAGCTATTAAAGTTGAAGAAAAATTTAAAAACTAAGTTTGTGTTTCCCAAATTCTAGTTTAGTTCTTTTGGGAACATTGACCCATGATAAAACTGCCTTCTTTTGGAACCTTCCCCCACTCCTTTAGGTGATGTTAATAGCTCTGGGTGCTATATTCCTGTCCTAATCTTGGTTAGATGACATATAATGATGTTTCTTATTATTTATCACTATGTTTATTGGCTTAATTTTTTTTTTTTTTGCTTTACCTCATATGTCATGACTCCTGCCACAAAAAAGCAACCTGCAAATGTCAGAAAAGATATTGCCCCACCATATCTCTGCAATATCTTTTTTTTTTTTTGTCTGTGTTCTGGGTACTTCTCCACTGAAGGACCAACTTCTAAGGTCAAACTAGAATAAATGGGTTTTTTTTATTTAGTTTTTTTAAATTTATTTTTATTTAGTTTTTGTTTATTTGAAAGAGAGGCAAAGGACTGATATTTGCTGCTTTACCTGCAAGAACTCAGACCAAAACTAACTCAATCTATTTTCCCCACATGACTAGCAGGATACAACCATTTGAGCCATTACCTCTGCACGTGTCTCTTTCCTGCTCCCCTCCCAGAGTACACAATAGCAGGAATATTGAGGAGCTGATAGTGTCATACAGTGGCTTCAGCCAAACTTGTCATGCTGGCATCACACACTAGACTGCAGGTTTAAGACCTGGCTGCTTGCTTCTGTTCCAGCTCCCTGATAATGCATGGAGGGAAGCAGCAGAAGATGGCCTAAATGTGTGGGTCCCTGCCTCCCATATGGGAGACCTGGATGGAATTGCAGGCTGCGCCTGGTCCAGTCCTAGCATTGTAGCCATTTGGAGGTGTACCAGCTATGGAAGAGATCTCTCTCTTGCTGCCCCTCTCTGTCTGTGTCACTCTGCTTTTCGAATAGATCAATAAAGTCTTTTACAAAGGAAAACAGGAAGCTAGCATTGAGGCTGTAAAAGCAGGGTTTAAATGTAGCATTCTGACATGAGAAGAGGACATCTGGAGCGGTTCTTCACTACTACATCAAACACCTCTCCTAGAGTGAAATACTTCCAATATCTGAAATAGTTCTGCTATCATAACTTTTCTGAAGTGTGTAAGCTTGCTAATTTTAATAATGTAAGTTTAACAGCAAAATTAATAGAGAGAAAATGTTCACTGTGTTTCTAACACCATGAAAAGGAAAAACTGTGTGATTAAATTGTTTCCCTTCTAGAAACAAATTTATTTGGGAGGCAGAGAGAGAGAGACAGAGGGAAAGCAGGGCAAGTGAGTTCCTGTTCTCTGGTTCTCTCCCAGGTGCCTAAGCCCTGACCTAGAGACTGTATGCAAGTCTCTGTGCTCTCGTCTCGCCTCACCACTGCTGGCCAGAGATTGCTTCATCAGCAAGCCAGAGTCAGAAGCTGATATTGAACCCAGGAACTCTGATGCATGTCTTAGCTGGTGTTGTCCTTTTTGAGTGTCTATATTATGATGATGCTATTGAGAAAAGAACAAATTCTTCAAAACTACCTGATTTTGACATATTAAAGTAGTGAAATTGAAAACAGTGCGGGCTCAGGATCTGGATTGTCATCAGGCCAAAAGCCAGCTCTGACTCTGGTGGTGCACAAGTTACTTAACTTCCACAAATCTTGGGTCTTCATCTGTAAAGCTGGGGATCATTCCATGAGACAGCTGAATAGTACCCTATAGCCACTTTAAGGTGTATAGCAGCCAGTTGTGTATAAACCAAAATAGAAAAGTTAGTTAGGTAGTCAAAGGATATGGTTAAGAACTTGTATTTTCTAACATATTGGTCACTCAATTCCATGTCAATTAAATCCATAATGTTGTAAACTGTTGCTGATGTTATGTTATGGCTTTTAATAGGTCGGGAGGATATTCTGCCAGCTCTGCTTTCAGACCAGAGATGGTCTCCCCAAGAAACTGTTGAATTTATCTGGACAATAAGATGCTAGACTCTATACATAGTACATGCTTGCAATGAAAGAATCATGACTGGATTTGAACTGTAATATTGCAATAAGGTGGAGTTATCCACCATGGGGGGAGAGTACAAGGAGAGGTTGGGGGAACCCCAGAGCCTATGAAAAGGTGTCATAAAGGGGGGGGGTGGGGGGGGGGGAGGGGGGGAGGGGGGGGTGGGGGAGGGTGTGGGGGGGGGGAGGGGGAGAGGGGGGGGGGGAGGGGGGAGGGGGGGGGGGGGGGGAGGGGGGAGAGGGGGTGGAGGAGGGGGTGTGGGGGGGGGTGGGGGGGGGAGATGGGGAGTGGGGGGTGGGGGGGGGGGGGGGGGGGGGGGGGGAGGGGGGGGGAGTTTGTGGTGGGGGGGGGTGGGGGGGGGGGGGGGGGGGGGGGGGGGGGGGGGAATGAGGGGGTGAAGTGATGAGTTTGGATGGCTGATTGGTACATGCTGGAAATCCCATATGGGCACCAGTTCTAGTCCGGCTGCCCAGCTTCCCATCCAGCTTCCTGCTTTGTGGGTCCATGGCCCCCGCCATTGGCGCCCGACTTCGCCCCCCCGTCTTAGTGGGCCCCCTGTTCCCCGTGAGTGGCTCAGCATTCTCGGAGCCAGGCAGCCAAGTTCAAATTCAGCATCCGCCGGAGCCCATGCATGGTTCTATTGCCACCACGGCCAGGCCGCACAATGCCTCCCTGGGGACGGGACATCATCGCATGCGGTATCTCCGTCGTCGCGCGCGCGCGGGGGATCTCGCTCACTCTATACTCTATCTATCCGACGACACCCAAGACATGACTGGCCCGCATCGATCCGGCCCTACATTTTGCCAAGCATGGATACAGTCTGTTAATACCATAAACGGGCCACTAGCCACAGCAACTACTACCCGGCGCAGGGTCCAACCCTCACTGGACCCCCACCATCCCACAGAATACATACCGCCACGGTACCCCTCCAAGAATCGGACACCAGATTTATAGATGCCCGCAAATTCCCACAGTAGACACCGGCCCCATGCCTACGAAAAACGCGCCCACCCCGTTGAACGGGGGGCTATGATTCCACGCGAGACGGAAAGCTATCCTGTCCCATAGCCGTTGGCCCTATCCGATCTGCGGCCGTACCGTGGGCCCTAACATCCCCCGAAGCCAGGCTTGTGTCCAGGAATTTCCTTCCATATAGGGTTCTTGTTAGAATTACACATTTGTACGATTTATGTAGTTACCCATAAAATGAACCCTGAAAAATTACAGGCAATGCAGTAATCTTGGTTTATTGTGTCTGGCTAGAAACATCTGGATACATTTTTTTTTCTAAAGGTTGTCATTTTTTTTACTGAACATAATTAAGATCAATAATTTGTCTAATTATAGTCCTTGGGAACATTCCAACATAGGACAAGGTAATGACTTGATTTTATAAATGGACTTAATGCTACATTTAAAAATTTTTTTAAATACACATTGTTCAAGACAGAAAATAATTTTGGTTATTTAGATAGAATCCCCTGGTTAAGTATAACTGGTTTAGTTATAAAACTAAAAATTATGGAGGCCCGATATGGTAGCCTAGTGGCTAAAGTCCTCGCACGCACCTGAATCCCATATGGTCTCCGGTTCGTGTCCTGGTGCCCCTGTTTCCCATCCAGCTCCCTGTTTGTGGTCTGGGAAAGCAGTTGAGGCTGGCCCAAAGCCTTGGGACCCTGCACTCTCCATGGAAGACCCAGAAGAGGCTCCAGGCTCCTGGCTTTGGATCGGTGCAGCACTGGCTGTTGCAGCCACTTGGGGTGTGAATCATCAGAGAGAAGATCTTTCTCTTTATCTCTCCTCTTCTCTATACACATCTGACTTTGCAATAAAAATAAATCTTAAAAAAAAACCTAAAAATTATGTCCCCCAGAATGAGGCACAGTTCAGCAAACCTAAGCCCTAATTAAATATTTCTAGTTTATAAGACCCAGTATGCAAAACTTCATAGCTGTGTAGGATTTTTGGACACTTAAGAGCCCAAATTGTTTAAATTCCAACTGAAGAATAGTTTTGTCCCTTTTAAGTTATGCAATCTTACGCAGATACGACTTCCAGATAAAATACAAAGTATGGTTCTTTTGTACTTATTTATACATTTAATTTTTAATTTTTAAATTATGATAATTTCTTTCTGAATTATATTAGTCTCTTTTTATCTATGGTTTCATTTTCTGTGGTCTGATTTACCCATAATCAGCCATAGTAAAAAAATATGAAATGGAAAATACTAGAAGTAACTCAGAAGTTATAAATCACAATTCACCTGTCATCCCTTTGTCCATCATATTTACAATGAAATCTACATCTTTCCTGTTAGTCACTTAGTGACCATCTCAATTACCAGATTGACTTTATCATGTAATTGGTTATGTTAAGTTGATCTTCATTTCATTTAATAGTAACTTCAAAGGGCAGGTCCCAGTGCGGTAGCCTAGCAGCTAACATCCTCGCCTTGCACGCACTGAGATCCCATAAGGGCGGCGGTTCTAATCCTGAAGACTATGCTTCCCATCCAGCTCCCTGTTTGTGGCCTGGGAAAGCAGTCAAGGATGGCTCCAACCTTTGGGACCCTGCACCCATGTGGGAGACCCGGAAAAGGCTCCAGGCTCCTGGCTTTCGATTGGCACAGCTCCAACCATTGCGGTCACTTGGGAAGTGAATCAGCAGACAGAAGA